GTGCTGTTAATATTGGGGGTACTCTTAATTATAGTGAACATTCAACTAAAGGTGTTCTAATGCCTTTAAAATTTCAATTTAAAAATTTTTTTGAACATGGTGACAATTTMAAAAATATGAAAAATAGAGTAGAGAGTCTCAGAACAGATAATAGTACTATTTCTAATTTTGTACAAGGTAAATTATGGCAAAGTAAAATAAGGCAGTTTGAAGGAAGGTTAGTTTTTCCATACWTCTTATATATTGATGATGTAGAAATTAACAATCCACTATCATCACATGCTGGTTTTCAATCAATCTCTGCTATTTATTATAGCTTTCCCCTTGTTGAAAATAACTCTAAACTATCAAACATTTTTTTAGCAGCATTAATTAAAGCAACTGATATAAAAGAGTTTGGTAATGATGCTTGTTTACTAGAGTTAATAAATGAGATGAACAGTATAGAAAAAGAAGGTGTTAGTATTTCTACTGAATTTGGTAATATACAAATTCATTTTGTGCTTGGTTTAGTATTAGGAGATAACTTGGGCCTAAATAGTTTACTAGAGTTTAGTAAATCATTTTCTGCTAATTACTATTGTAGGTTTTGCAAATCACACAAGTTAGTTTCCCATAATCTATGTGAAGARAATAGTGCATCTATGCGTACTATGGAAAATTATGCAGAAGATGTAGCTTTAAATAATTTTAGCGAAACTGGTATTTATAAAGAATCAATACTAAATAAGTTAAATAGTTTTCATGTGACACAAAATTATGTTGTTGATATCATGCATGACATTTTTGAGGGTGTTTGTCATTATAATTTGTGTCATATAATTAAGTACTATATTGACTTACAGATATTCTCTTTGGAAACRTTAAACCTGAGAAAAAAAAATTTCAACTATGGACCACTTGAAAGTGGAAATTTGTCTCCCGAAATCACAGAGCTACACTTAAGTAAATTTCGTTTAAAAATGACAGCAAGGGAGATGATGACATTTGTTCATTATTTTTCACTTATGATAGGGGATTTAATACCCATATATGATGAAGTTTGGAATTTTTACTTGGTTTTTATCATTTTATAAAAATTAGGAAATACTTGAGGTGAAATATTTTTTTTAGTATATAAATTCACTACCTAACCTTAGTTATAGTCTTTAAGGACCARACTCTAAATCACCCATGTCTAAATCCGAATCGTCGACAACTTATACTTCAAGTTGATCACTGATCAGTAGTATCTCTCGGTATCTCTTCAGTTGTTTTTGATTTAAATTTAAATATTTCAAACATA